TATATATATATATATATATATATATATGTATATGTACATGAATAAATGTTTCATTAGGCATGATTGTCCATGAGTTTAACTTCAGCACTACAAGACTCAAGTCTACATTTATATTTTAGGTTGTCAAAAAAACAATGCATAATTGTTTATAGACTCAAATTGTCTTGGGCATGAAAGATTGATGCTTAACCAAACAGACAAGCCACTCCAATAGTCATTTTGCTTTTCTTCCATCAAACAGAACAAAAATATCCAAAGTTCTACATTCAGGTACCGATCCATGTTGGCATATCAACACACAGTATGCCAGCATGCACGCGGTACCAAGAAGGGAGCGGGAGGAGGGGGAGGGAGGAGGAGGAGAACAAGACGAAGAGGAGAAGAGGGGGGAAAGGAGAAGAGGAGGAAAGAGAAGGAAAAGTAATGGTATGGTGATGAGGTGGCAGGCATCAGCGGAGAGGCAGCGAGCAAGCCAGCATGAGCATGTGGCGGTGACACCCACAACTCACATCCCACATTTAAAATCTGAGGCCTAAGCTGCAGGTTATTTTATGAAAATCCTGACAATGGAATAGACCATACAAAAAAGGGTGGTCCATATTCTGGTTCACACTCAGAACAGGAAAATGCCAAACAATACGAACCAATCTGGACAAAATTGAGTCCTATGCAAATAATATGGGTTCACCACAAGGAATTCAAATGAAAACAAGTCAACTTGCAGGCTGAGAATTGAGAAACATATCAGGCCTTCACTATCAAGCTACACCTCACCTAGGACTACAACATTGAAATTTTCACTCCTCTAGTGATATAAATTATAAATATCAGGATTCAGTAGGGACTCATGCAATGAGCTATATACACTAAAGATTCCACAGACCCTGGCGAGAATCTCATGCACTAGGCCCATATGGATGACATAAAAGTACTGTTGTAATATATGCATATTTCAAAAGTACTGTTCTTTGTTATCATTGATGCAGATTTCTTACATTGGCATTTTGCCTGTAATATATGCATGAATAATATATACTTGTTTGAATATGTATTACAGCAGCAAAACCTGAAATTGTGTGTTCCAGTTGAATATATATGAAAGAGGAAAGACCAGTATATAAGATGAGAAAATAAATATCAAAATCCATTAGGATAAGTGAAAAAACAAACCTTTGTTAACTTTGCAACTAGATAGAATCCGATATGCAGTGTTAGCAGCCTCTGACGAAAGCTTCCTGGATAACCAAGTATAAACCACTCCTTTACAATCATTGACAACAGTAATCCCAGCAGTACTCCCAGGTATTCTAGAACTGTCAAGCATGCTTGCTCCTCTTAGTGAGATCTGAAAAGCAGCTTCCACTATTGCAGGTTGACAAATTGGTCTGCAACACTCCTTCAGTGGATCAACTGTGCTGCATGAGTCCAGTAATTTGCTTGTGTTTACTATTTTCTCAAAAGTAACAAGATCCTTGACAGGACATGAACCACCAGTAAGATTTGATGACTTCACCGGGCAAAGAGTAGGAATAGTGCTGTTTGCCCCTCTGCTGGCCAATATGTTGATAAGATCTGAGAAGCAATAATTAGCAGTTGCTTGCTGGAGAACAAGCATGTCGGATTCACTACTATAAACACCTTGAAATATGTGCATCAAACTATTAACCTGGGGACAACAAATAACATTTCCCACTAGTGCAGCTAAAGGGGCAGAGCAGTCGGATGCTGTCTTGTCAAAGATATCTGACAGTGAAGAAAAATTAACAGGGCATCTCCCTGTCAAGACTGGTTCATAAGTGCTCGGAAAGGATGGGTACATTGGTGAGAGTGGCTCAACAGGATAAGGATTACGCGGAACAACAGCCGGAGATATCTCTATGGGATCAAATAGTCCAATAGGTGGATCAGACAGCACAAACTTGTCAGGAACATTAGGCTTGGGCTCAAATTCTGTTTTCTGTGACACCACATGTTGAGAACCCCAAAACCAAATTGCAAATATCAGAAACCGACAGATAATTTTACCTGCAATATAGTCTTTGAACCAGTCAGAAATGTAGAAGTATGGTCAATAATTTATTAAATTTATTAATGGCCAAAGAACATCATCATCCACAACATCAACAATCAAAAAAATTACATATCCACAAAATATAATATGATTTTCTTACAAACAAATGTTGCACAAGATATCAACTCTCAAGCTAAATGTAAATATTCATACCAACCTGCCTTGTGCAATGCCACATTTCATATGGTTTTCTTGACTAAATATGAAGTTGCCCAAACATATAACGATCTAGACATGTTACGTTGTGTGTACCATTTATTTTAGTGTTTCCAACTAGTTGATCATTTATGCCAGTTGTGCTGTTGTGTCACAGTATGTTTCGGAAGGAGGATAATTGAATCCATGGCAGTTGAAAATATGGATGCATAAATGTACTGTGTGCAAATAGAAACAGGACGAGGAGTCCTTTCTAAGACATACACAGTACTTGATCCGGTTACAGAATCTTCTTATATCTGGTATGTGTTGTACAGTTGTATTCAGATTCATAATAAAAGTATCAAGCAACAGGTGTTTCTAGAAATTTATTACAGTAAGATTTTGTAGAAATTTATATTAAAGCAAAAAAATTTATAGATGTGGCTTATGTTTTACTTTCTATAATGATGCATCACCTATAATAGTAAAGGGCTAAAGTGATGTTTCAACTTAGAGTGACCTAAGGTCCAACATAGCAAAAACCCAAGTCTAAAGAACAGGGTAACTGCAAATATATAGCAACTGCACAACATGTCAGAAGTTAACTGTGGTATTATGATTCATAAATGTTGTTAGGATAAAACAAAATTTTGTGACGAAGGATTCATGTGAAAATAGCATTTTGATTGACTTATAAGAATCCAATGCGTATGCTATTGTTAGCTTGGGCCTCAGTCAATGATTCAAATTCAACAAAGTTAATTATCCATAAGACTGGGTCATGATGACTGAAATCAAGCTGAGATAGCATCAAACATGGTGAGAGCTCAAGTAGGAAAGCTACCGAGGCCATAAGATAAGCCGCCATTAGACTAAGCCATATATGCACCATGCCATAGCCTAATTTTGGGTTATGCTGATAATTCATACTCAACAAAATTAATAAATGAATTATCCCATTGGACTAAGCCACATATGCACCATGCATTATGCTGGTGGTTTAGACTCTACAAAGTTAATAGATTAATTATCCCATCGGCCCGAAATGTTCCAGAACTCTTTCATATACAAACAATATTTTAAGTAAAACTTCTTTCTAGATATTCATTAAAGATTCAAACTAGAATATTTTTGTATTCATGTAATCCTCCAATTGTATTGTTTTGAGATAAAAATTTTGATCCTCATATCAGACAAAGCATTCAAATCATAACATCTCCATGAAAAGGACAAATTTGCTGGAATAGCAAACAAGCAGAAACAACAAAAATATTGAAAATCAGGGGAACCTATTGATTGCTACGAAACATCTAAACTTTATAAACATATAAACAGAATGTAAGTCTTGTAAAAACTATCTAGCTGTGAAGTTTTTCTTTAAAGAGGAGAATTACCAATATGATGCCCCATGTCAACACTTTGATAATATAGACACCCAGTGCCACAAGTGCCCAGTCATCAATTCATGGTTGCCTTGCAGTTGAGCATATGATAAAATATCAAGATAAGGACCTGCAGCCACAGCTTGACAATACAAAGGCACAAGAAAGATTTAGTAAAGAAAGCACCTAAGATGTTTAGAAGTACTAAAACAAGAATACGGAAGCCCTATCGTTTAAAAAGCACATACTTTGACAATCCAACCATGCAATATATACGATTTGTTCTTATGCTACATATCATTAATTATCAATAACAAGTCGAACAGGTTCATAACATCATCTATCACTAGTTATTTTCCATGTGCTAAAGCACATTATTTTTATGAAATTAGAGGAACAGACTAAATCAACTTCATTACTAGACAATGTCATCCGTGGAAAAACTTCTCTAGAAAACCATGCAACAATCACAAAATTCACAATCCCTTCTAATGTACTAAAAGAATTCTTCTTTACATAATTTGGAGCCAGATTGAGTCTAAGGACATAGATGGTAAGTAACTCCATCGAGTGGAGTAGCAAGTCCTCTGAAGTATCATATGCTGCTCAGAGAAAGCTAAAAGCACTACCAATTTAACTATAACAAGACCACATTTTCGTCAACTGTTACAAAGACCTCATCTAGTTCTTGTCAACTTTTTTGTAAGCCACCGGAGAGAAAAATAAGCAAGTGAAACCCCACCATGTTGATCTTAACTCACCCGATTGTTCCTCTTCCATGCTACAAATGATTCAACCAAATGACAATTATACCATGTACAAAATGCAAAAAATAACGACCGATCTCATTGATCTTCCAGTACCACCAAGAAACCATCATTTTCAATCAGATCCCCTAATAAATAAGGTAAATCATGATAATCCCCTGCTGCAACAATATATTCTGCTAAATATAGTTGGATTATTTTTGGTAGAGAAAAAATGATACTTTGATGGTTTATAAAAAGCAATTTCTAACAACAAAGAGAAGAGAAAAGAAGACAACCACTAAAACCAAGCATCAATAAGTAGAACAAAGCGAGAAAGGAGAAAAGAACAAAACGAACATTCCACACTACGATTAAACTCACCAGCACAATAAAGCACACAGCTTGACGAACAAAACGCCAGAAACCACCCCAAATCAAGGGCAAGTGCGCCAAAGTGGAGGAACGGAGCATACCTTTTCTCGGATGGGACGGTGAATGTTTGACTCGGGATCACTTATTCTGCGCCTCCCTTTCACCGCGATTCAACAGTAAACTCACAATCTGAACTAGCCGGCGGCACAAAAAAGCACACAGATTGACCAAACAAACACCATAAATGCCGAAACCAAGGCGAGCGTACAAAACGGAGCAGCGGAGCACACCTTTTCTCGGATCGGAATGTGAATGTCGATTCCTGCTCCCCCGAACCCCGCCCTCGCCTTCCCACCACCCTTTCACTGTGATTCAACACTACACTCGCAATCTGAGCTCACCCGCACGATAAACCACACAACTCGACCAGCAAAACACCAGAAATCCCGAAGTAGAGCAGATTTCAAACTCACCGGCACAATCAAGCGCACAGCTTGGCCAACAAAACACCAGAAACCGCCCCGAATCAAGGGCAAGCACAGCAAAGTGGAGCGGCGGAGCACACCTTTTCCCGGATCGGAATGTGAATGCGGATTCGGAATCGCTTCTCCCCGAACTCCACCATCTCTTTCCCCACCTCCCTTTCCACGGATACTTTCCCCTTTTTCCAGATTCCGTGTTCCTTCTCCGCGTTCTCCCAAACTTTTCCTCCTCCCCTCTTCTCCAAAGCGCTCTCTCTCTCTCTCTTCGGAAGTGGGTTTTCCTTTATAATACGAATAAAGTAGCGGATGCGAAAGGGTAGTCTATTTTGGCTGTTCGAGTCGTCGCCACGGAGCCAAATTCCCCAAAATACCCTTCCGGGTTATCTGGGCCGAGCCCACTAATAAAGAAGGCCCATATTCTATCCTCTATGATTTCTTTAGGTCATTACATCTCAAGTATGAGGGGTTGTGAGATACTAAATTTGTAATCTAAGATGTATTTTCCAAATAATTAATATATTCTAATATTTCATTGTTATTTTTATTATGTGAGTTGTATCAATCGTTGGCACCTTAACACAAAAGAATTATCGATCTAATTTGTTTCAACTTTTTTATTACTTATTATACAATGATAAGATTGCTCCATTACAACCCGAAGAATCGAATGATAGATTGAAAATATTTTTTTAAAAAAATTACATATATTAATCCTCTCATCCTTAACTAGATTTATTTTTATTTATTTAGTGGTTAATCATATAATTGAAGCATAATAGTAATTTTTACTGATGTTAATTTTACGGCCAAAGCAGCTCATCACAATATGTGTTTTAATATAATACTTATGTATCAAAAGAATTTTCGTAAATTAGGGTCAACAGGGAAAATTCTGATTAATTATATTAGTCTTTATACAAATTCTGATAGCTTGTGTTTTTGGCATTAAGGTTGCAAATAATTAAACAAGTCATTTGTTTTTTTTTCTTTTTTTATTTCATGACTTCGTCTTTCCTTTCTATTTCTTATATATTATAAATAGTTCTATGTATTATCTTCGTCTTCATGTTATAATCATCGCTTACTTAGTCATCATGTTATACGATATAAATTCTAGAATAATCAGTTATCTAGTAAACAAAAAAATTATTTTATTTTAATAAAAATATAATTAAACTAAAAAAATATTAATTCTCCCGATTAAGCTATGGGCTTTCTGATTAAGATTCTCGGGCAAAAAAAAAACTTGTATATACAATAGGAAGGATATTTACTCAGTAGTTAATGATAGCATGAAGCAACCACACAAAACTTGAAGAGTTGCATTCACAAAATTGGTGATGTTATTTATAGACCCAAAATGTCATTAAGAAGTTGGCCTAATGTTGTTAGTGAGCTATATTTAATGAGAGAGAGAGAGATAGAGTTTGTGGCATGGCTCCAGCAGAAGATAAAGAAAACAATATTCATTCAAGGTCTTTTGTGGGTATCAGAGAGAAAGAAAAGACAGTGTTCATTCAATGTCTTTTGTGGACCTCAGAGAGAGAGAGAGAGAGAGAGAGAGAGAGAGAGTAAATTTCCAGAGGTGGGTTGGTCACATTATTGAGGCTTACTCGACATCAATGATGTTCGTGTTCGATCACAGCACTGCATCCATTGGAGTAAGGTGAAGAAAGCAACATGTTGTTGCAGAAAAATCATCAAGAGTGGGTGTACCACAAAGCCATAGAATATGTCTGGGTTTGGACTCTCCTGAGTGCTTTTGTAACCATTATGATGCATTTTGTACCTTTGTGTTGCAGATGCTGCCTCAGCACAGGTGATTCATTGTTTCTAGTATTTCTTTTAAGGATTTGGGAATTCCATACTATTATCATAGTTCATGTTCTCTACTAATCCTAACATTGTCTGATGATATAAAAAAAAAAAAATTGTAAATGGTAAAGACAAGATTCGATTTCATCATTTTTATTTATATCGACAATAAGTCTTTACCAATTCATACCTAACTCCTTCAAAGCTAATAGTCAATATAGGAGGAGGAGAAGAAATATCAAAATTGAATTTTTTTTTTAATGAATTGGTGTTGATTGAAATTTAGTTTGATATCAAAGCAAAAAAAAAAATGCTCCATAATTTTTATTAATATATGAAAAAAATCAAAATTTATGATATATGGATAGCGCATCAAAAATTGAATCTCAATGTTTTGTTGCAACTTAACTTTATTTTTCAGTAATTTTATATTTTATTTATATCTTTCTAATTTAAATTACTTTCATCATATTAAATTATATATATTTTTTTAATATACTCAAACCTATAATTTATTAATTGGGGGTTTACAATTTGATATACCGTATCAATCAGACTCGTATCATATCAATCTATACCAATGTATCGGCACTCATTATATCGATAGTTATCGAGTTAAAAAAAATTAAATTAAAAATTTACTTGTCACATAATTATGTTATATATATATATACATATTTGATTTATCTTGATCTGTATATCTATACTATTAGTACTAAACTGTATCTTTCTTTGATATTGCAAACTTTACTTTAAATTGTATAACAGATCGCTCAACAAATATTACACTTGTTTGCAGTTGCTTGGATAGAAAACTCAGATTGTGTGATGGCCGCTAAGTGTTCTTCTCACCTTCTTCATCCTCGGGATACGCCCTCCAAAGAAGGAATGCTTTCACGTGAAGTGGTGCTTCAACATGCATCCCGTGTCTGTCCACGGATAGCGAGACAGATCGCTCACACCACAGGCCTGGCGGAGCTGCACGGCGAAGGTGTCACCAACATGGTGTGCTGGGTGGAGAAGCTTCAGTGAACGGCATGATGGTCGAACACCTGGCGTGCAGCTTTCGGCCTGCCTCGCCTAATCATGTAGTGTATGTACCCTTTCTCCCTCCACTGCTTCCTATCACCCTCCTCATTATTTTGGTTAGGTGGCGAGTAGAATTTGTGTCATAGTAATGCTGTTGATACAAGTGTATAATTTGTGCATTTGCTAACCTATTGACTTGTAATATAGACTCGATAAATTAATTATCCCGTAAAACTTGAACAATATCAATCATATATTTGACAAGATGATAGATTCAGGTAGAAAAAAAAAATATTTATAGATAGGATTAGATGACACATCATGGTATAGAATTATCATAGAAAAAAATTATTTATAGATGTGATGTGTCTATAGAATTATCATTGGGCTAAGTTGTATATGCATCATGTTATATTAGATTCTTATGATATGCTGATCCATGTCAAAATCTTGCATCAAAAGAGAGATGACTTAATTTTTTGAATAAATTCACTATAATTAATATCAAAAATATTTTGAAAAATTAATTTAAGCTCAATAAAGTAAATGAGATAGTTGAACCATCTATTTTAGTGTAATTTATTCGAATATAATGAATCAGATAAATTTTCTTGTTCCTTGGTTGATAGGAAAATAAGAGAGAGAAGCTAACAGGAATTTGCAATATCATAAACAAGCAATGATAGATTGATAGATAGCTACAGCTCTTCATTGTGATCTGATATGGGTGAGTTAGGTTTGATACAATAAGTGCTATGCATCGAATCATTCTATTATTACTGGAAATGGATCAAGGAGATTGAGTGGGTTACAATTCATGAGGGACTAAAAGATGAGTTGATGTCTTCCAACAACCACAATTAGCATGGTTCTTGAACATGATGACAACAGTAGCAACAACAGTTGATGACATCTCCAGTGCAGCAGCTTCAGCAAAAGTAATAATAGAATTAGATTGCAAAAAGGGATTGATTTTTTATACTCAGAAACCGCTGATTGAACAGTTTAATAAACTCAAAATACTTGTCCTAAAAATTCAGAATGATATTATGACACTAGTCATGAAATGTTAAATAAACACTCTCTTAAACTAGTCATATCTGGCAGTGTTTTGATATCATAAAAGGGTGTGATTAACTTTATGAAGAGCATATCTAAACAACAGTTCATTAGGGGTGAGTCATGAACAGATCAGTCTTCTTGACAGTGGGGTATTGTATACTACTTTAGATTTTGACTTGTGTTTTGACCTGTGTCAACAATATAAACAATTTCACTTGGGTGGGGGGAGGTCACATGTAATTTAAATTAGGTCATAGGCAATAGCACCTCAACCAGGTACTTCCACAGCACATAAAAGCACAACCAACTTCAAAACTTTTGATTGACTGCTGAAAAATTATATTATAAACAGTGTAACCTACACCTGAAAGAAGTATCATCAACTCATTGAAGAAGATGTGTGCTTCGGTAAAAGAGTATCTGATATTACGATATTATGACAACACCATGCTGTTCTAGATCAGCGACATTCAAAAAATTTAGACCGAAAATGATCGTCGTTTATACTAGCAATGTAGATCATAAGAGACAAACCAGGTACCGCTGATGTAGTCCATGCTTCACATGCATACTATAGAAAAGGATGGTTTCGGACAACCTTTTCTTGCCAACAAATTGTACTGATTGAACAAAGTTATTGTCCTCATATTAGCTTTGTCAATACTCCAAAAGTAATCTCAGGTGACAGATTTACAAGGCTTTTCAGACAAGTTTGAGTGACCTCCTTTTTGGCTGAAAAAGTAAAAGAGAGAAATGAGTAAATAATTTTTAATAGCAGTACTACACTTTGTGATAAAAAGATGTTCCCCAACTAAATCATAGTTCTGTCACTATAGTAGCCTGAGAGTGACGTTACTCTCATTCATCTACATTAGAAAAAAAAAAAAATTTGTGCACTCAGTAGTTACTTGCAGACCTTCTTAACATGCAGATGCAAACTTAAATGCCAAAACAAAGGTTACAACTAGTAATTATTAGAGATAACTAAAACAAGGTACTCCAGGATTGGCAGGCCTAAACTATTCACAGAACTATGAACAGTCTGTTCAAGAACAGACTAAAAACTATAGCTGTCATAAAAAATATAATAGCTGCTTGGCTCTACCTTATCAAATATACTATACTAGTTTATGCAGATGTTGGTTACACGTAACAAACTGCCAATACTTATTTAACTCAGTGGCTACCATTCATGTTGCTAGCAGTAATAATCAATTATGAGTTGTCACCCAAAAAATGAAAAGCAAACTTCCATCTTTTTACTGAATTTGATGCTTCTCAAGTACAAGCAAGGTGCTGAATATTCCAATATGCTCATGTCAGTACTGAAGTAAAATTAATTATATAAGTTCTTACAAACAAACAGCCAATATATCATATTGTCTTAAGACAGGGAGGTAAGAACCATATCCCCACAAGAGACACCTTGGTAAATTGCTTCCAGTTTCATGGAGGATCTAAATAAGGACTGATACAGTAACCACATACCAGAAAAATTTTAACATGTTTACCCGATGGTTAGCGGAATGTCATGGTATCTACCGTTATAACATGTAGTTAAAGGGCAAATTTTGCCTCACAGTGTCAGTGAATCATTTCAATGGAAAGAACTGAGATATCATCGATTTCACCCTTTTCCATGACAAGTGATCCAGGTGCAACTCTTACATAAATTTGATACTATACTAACAGCTGAATGAAATGAACTAATATATCCTTATGAAATAAATATGCTGCTTTTTCTCTTTTCTGTTTCAGTTAAAAATTCTTCAGTGGCAACAAACGTTGAAGAAGAGTTTGAATTGGCAAAAAACTACAGGTAGTAATCATTCCTTTGAGAGTCCTCCATATTGGATTCTTTTCTAACATATAAATATGCCTGTTTTTAATGGGGACATTCAGGATTTAAAATATATCCATTGTAATATACTACTGATTCATATTGTTCTTTTACTATGATTTTAATTCTAGTGTGATTTGGGTAGGTCCACAAAATATTTAAGGAACCAACCCACGTCAGGCTGGGTTGGAGAATTTGTAATCCACTGAAATTGTTCTAGGTGCCTTACTGTTCTACAATATTTTCTCCTTTCTTTTCAGAGAACATAATACTTAATGAGACGCAGAATCCACTCATCTTTTTTCAAAATGTCCACAACCTACTACCTAAAGGCTATGGCTACCCATGGCCAAAGCCAATGACGTTGATCATTAGGATATTTATCAAATGGTCTCTTATTGCATTGCCTTATAGCTTGGAAATTTTCCTCTTTCTTGAACAATACAGAAAAATAAAATAAAAAATAAAACAGTATCAAATAACTCCAGACTCTCTGAAGTGTTGTTTATATTAAATAAACACAATAAGCTTGCAGTAACGAAAACAAACTACACAAAATTATGAATAAAAATTTAATCCTACAGTAGAACAAAGTATTATTTCATCATAAACCATTAAGATCCATTTAATCTAACCAATTTATAAAACCAAAATAAACAGATGCATCATAATGGGTATAATGACAATTCCTCACATGCCTACTAAAAATTTCTCATACATGCTTTATATTAGAAACCTTCCATTAGATATTTACTGAAGGAGCTTCCTTCGAGAAACTTACATGAGTCAGAATAAATAAGAGCAACACTCATTTTGAAACTTACTCTGTAACCAGCTTAGCTAACCACAACAGATAGACGGAGATTAATTTCCAATGGAGACGTTTATCTTTTTGCTCCATTGTATAGTTTTGAAGGGGTTGGGACTTTACGTCTTTGTCGTCGTCATCATTGTTGTTGTTGTTATACAGTTTTGGAGGGCTTTTTAAAAAATAACAAACTTGCCAAATTGGACTACCATGGCATCTTAACACAGTGGACATAAATCCCTCTCACAATTACACAAGAAGTGTTGCCCCTAATCCCTAGAAGAATTTTTCACATTGGTCTTTTGTTTTTATGCTCCTTCTCTTTTCCATAATAAGTGACTGATTGAGGAATTAATACCACGAGAAAGGAAAAAAAAAAACATAAACACAATTTTCATTTTACTTCAAATTAAGTGGACATGTACTCACAAATTTTTTGTCGACCTCTTTTAAGAACTTCTCAGGAAAATCCATATATTCAGCACAGTCCTTCCTTACATCGGAGGCCAGATCTTCCAGTCCAACTTTTTCAAGATTCCTAATTAAAATGGTCAGTGTCAACTTATCAGGACTGCAGCCCAATTCCTTCATGGATTTGTATACATCCATTGCTTTCTCCACCATATCAACTTGCAAAAAGACTCCTATCATTTCAGTGTAGGCTCGAGTGTCAGGTTGCAATCCCTCTTTCTGTAACTCAGAGAATAGTTCTTCAGCAAGTCCAATCAGCTTGTTCTTTCCCAACATGAATATCATATCACTATATAGTGACAGCTCTGGTTTATACCACACCTCCTTTCGAATAAATGCAAAAACCTGTAATCCTGACCTCAGATCAAAGAGTAGAATGCATGAAAGAAAGAAAAATGAAAAGTCTGGGTATTTATAAACAAATAAACCAATTGATGGGATGCATCAATAACAATGAGATAAACAACAACAATCTTAAAAGCAGTCCAACCTGTCAAAGAATTATAGATGTTATTAGCTGCAGCAATTCAAAGACTATATAGCTACTCCAGATTTATAACAACATAACCACTGATATTGCCCTAATCAGAGCTCAAAAGCGGGAAAAGGAACTTGATTACAATGATTCTCTTAGCTGTTTGGGTTTCTTTAGAGTGAAAAATGAAGTTGAAAGCGCAGAGATACCGTCATTAGATTGTAGCGAACAGCTTTAGATGCTCTAAATGTGAAAAAAAGGTAAGTTCTTTTCCAGTTAAGCATGAATATGCCAGAACACGGGTCAGATGTAGCCCATAAACCAAAGCTTTTGAGAGAATTAAAGCATCGGACGAACACCTGTAGGGCAAGTTGCCATTCGTTCTGCCGCCGGAGCTCCGCGAGCACCGCAATCTGATCGGCCTTCAGGAGCCTCCCGACGCGAGCATCGAGGACGCCTTCGATCCGGCGAGACGAGGAGGAGGAATTGGCGAGCTTGAGGGCCTGGACGGCCTGGATCGCCTCCGTGGACATCACTCTCCCTCTCCACAGCGGCTTCCTCTCGCCCCGCAGCCCACAGCGGATCCTTGAAGGCCCTCGAAGGCTCGTAGGGCTTCCTCTTTCCAAAGCCAGTAGCGGTCGTAGATTCCGGAACTGGAGGGCAGAGCCCGTCGACGAGGACGCCATGGACGACGAAGACTACGCACGAACAGCGTTCGAGGAAATGTCGCATAGGCCGTCGGAGCCGATGTCCAAATAAAGTAGGGTGTCTTTACACGCGGTTCGGATTTTGTGACGTGGAATATTCAACCAAATGCTCTCAGCATCTTATATGTATATATGTATATATATATATATATACATACATATATACATATATATATATGTATATGTATATGTATATGTATATGTATATATATATATATGTATATACATGTATATAAATACATATATGTATATACATATATATATATTTTTTATTTATTTATTTATACATATATATATATATGTATATAAATATATATATTTATATATATGT